AAAAAAAAAAAAAAAAAAAAAAAGAGATAATTGGATGGACCCTTTCCAAAATTCAGTCTGGCCACTTTGGTCACTATCATCATCTGGAAACAAAGACAGTATCAAATCATACCGACCAATCACAGTAACTTCAGTAATATACAGACTAGCTATGCAAATCGTAAAAAGAAGAATGGAAGAATGGGCAGAGAGAAAGCAGATTCTGGGGGAGCTCCAAAACGGTTTCAGGATGGATAGACGATTAGATGATAACTTGTTCATAATCACTCAGTGCATAGAGATATCAATGACAAGCCAAAGGCCATTATGGGTAGCATTTTTGGACATCAAAGGGGCATATGACAATGTGAATCAGGAAAAACTTTGGGAACAGCTAAAAGGGTATGGCCTAGGGGAACCACGGTTAGGTTCCTAGAACGGGTTTATACGGAGAATAGGGTGATTATAAAATGGGAAGCCGAAACTACAAAACCAGCAGCAATAAAAAGAGGACTTAGACAGGGTTGCCCATTGTCTCCCCTGCTCTTTATGATATACCTCAGTGAGATGGAAAAAAGATTAGAACAGTGCAACCTAGGTTTTGACCTGAATTACATGGAGGAAGGACATAAGGTAAATCAACTATTGCCAGGGTTAATGTATGCAGATGACATTGTACTCGTATCAGAAAGCCGTGAGACAATACAGGAACTGATTAGGATTTGCAGCAGGGAAGGGGACAGTTTAGGACTAAAATTCAGTAGGGACAAGTCGGGTATAATAGTTTTCAACGATGAGAAGGGGGGACCCCTGGAGATACAGGACACAGTGATAGAACACGTAGAAAAGTACAAATATCTAGGGGTCTGGCTCAATGAAGGAAGGAAATATCTAGAGGAACACGAGGAGAATACAATTAGAAAAGGGAAAAGAAATTCATCTATTATGAAGCTCAAGGCACTATGGAACTATAACAGATATGAAGTGGTCAGAGGTATATGGAAGGGAGTGATGGTGCCAGGACTGTCATTTGGCAATGCAGTGCTGTGCATGAAATCTGAGGTTCAATCAGGGCTAGAAATTCGACAAAGAAGCGTAGGCAGATTGGCGCTGGGAGCACATGGAAAAACACCAAATGAGGGAGTACAGGGGGACATGGGATGGTCGTCTTTTGAGAGCAGGGAGGCAATTAGTAAGTTGAAATTTGAACAAAGGTTGACTGAAATGGAGGATACGCGGTGGGCACGTAAGGTATTCAAGTATTTATACATGAAAAGTTTAAACACAAAATGGACAAACCGAACCCGAAAGCTTACATTTAAATATCTACACACTGGTGATGGGGCTGAACAGACTACGTCAGTGAAAAAGAAGGTGAAAGAGGCGGAGAGGAAAATTTGGGAGGGGAGAATGCAGGAGAAATCAGCTTTAGCAGTGTACAGGTCACGAAAGCAGGAGATAAGAAAGGAAAAGCTATTTGACAATTCACTGGGAAGTGCTTTGCTGTTCGAGGCAAGAACGGGAGTTTTGAGGACAAGGACGTATAGGGCTAAATTTCAGGAGACCGACACATTATGTGCCGCCTGCCATAATGATAGCGAGACACTGGAGCACTTGGTTTTGAAGTGCACGAGGCTTCGTCCTGCCCTCCCTGAAGGGGTAACGGATTTGGCCGGGGCCCTGGGTTTCACTGGCGACGATGGAGGGATGGTAGAAAAAAAGATTACAGTGACAAAGAGACGATTAGAAGATTGGTGGAAATTATCTAGGGAAAATTAAATGATGGACAACTAACTAGCACAGCTGGGAACAGGCGGGACAGAGGAAAATTGGGACTCCCTCCCGCGTGGCCCCGGCCCAAAGTCTCAACCCTGTCTCCCAGTGGGTCCGGTGCTGGGGTAACGCCGAAAAGGTTTGACCAGAGGAAAATTGGCGACTCCCTCGCCGGGGGGAAGAGGCAGGGGGGTGATGTTTTTTAGTTTTTTTGCCCGATCCCCCGAAGGTCGTCCTAGTGATATCCCACACTGCCTGGTGATAGTTAGGGGGAGAAAAATTGGTCTTAAAAGGGCGGGAGGAATCACGTTTTTGTCTTTTTAGACTTAGGCTAGGTGGCGCAAGCTACCGCCCGTTACAAAGGGAATAGCCATTAACATCCATCCATCCATCCATGAAAAATGGCATATTTGCCGTACTAATGGCGGCCTTCTGTTTACTGATGAAGGAAGAAGTTGAAGGTGCTCCTTCGCAGATAATTCGAGGCTTATACTTTCGTGACGTTAGTACGATACGAAGCAGGAATTGAAAGCAAGGTCTCCGTAAGCGTTCATTTCCAGCTGGGGCCCGGTCAATCTGTTGGTAGCATCATGGTGCTCCAAAGCCCCTTGATTTGTATAACTTTATCAAGCCGTGTACATGGGTTGACGTTTCTTTCTGACTGGTTGCATCTTTGTTTCTAGCGTCACTGAAAGAGATCGAGAAGGAAATGTACAGTGAAGCACACACTGTTCTTTGCCGTTGACTTGCCAAAGTGACGGCGCCCGATAAAATATGGCAGACTACATGTTCAACATGATTGTAAACCTGAGACTGGGGCATAGAAGAGAATGTTCATTGCCGCCATTAGTACGGCAAAAGTTAAACTGCCATTATAGCGACAGATGGCACTGAATTTCGGGAAGGGTCTATTGGAGACATCTACGAGACGGCCCTGCCCGACCCAGATATTTATTCAGAACGTCGCGTAGCAAGACCGTGTGCAGCCAGACACCGTTCCTTCGCGCCGTTTGCCCACCACAAGAAGGGGGAAGGAGGAAGAGGAAAGAGAACCCACCCTGTGCACCTCGCCTCTGCGACGCACGCACCCACCAAGTCCTCCAGCAAAGACACCATACACTCCGTTCCCCCTTACGACCGACCGCAGCGCACTCTACGAGCCGTCCCATCCAACCAGGCTCGGTGAATGTGGCACGAGACAACGCTTTTTGCGAGTCACTGCGCCTCCTTTAGAAGGTCACGTGACACTACGCGGCATTGGGTTGGCTCCGACAGCTCGTTGCATCCGCTGCGGTCGATCGCAAGGCGAAACCAAGTATCGCGCAGTCCCTCGTCAGTCAGCGTCAACCACCCCAGCGAGACCAATGTATGCAACTGGAATGACACCAGGCCATACCGCATATAAAGTTCACCCCAAGACGAACAAAGCACTGTCGCCAGCCATGCGTTCTGGCGCACAAGTATTTCCCCAGAAAAGGCCTAAACAAAATAGAAACTCCGTGGAATGTAATTAATCGTACACCAGGGACGTCTTTACGTAGCGGTAAAGGAGAACAGTCCGATTCTGCGTCTTGCGGTGTGTGGCACACGCGCGCGAGCGTCTAGAGATGCAGCCCAGATGCCCGTGCGTCGCAGTGCCTAAGCGCTTTTTGATGACGACCCTGGTCATCGTCGGGATGCAAGTGATCCTCTGGCAGTCCATCAGCTTCACAATGTACTGCTTCAAGGTTGGGATTTTGGGTTCTCCGTCTGAATGGTCGCGCGGAGTGTCTTCCTCGTGCTTGCGGTGCATCTGTTCATCTATATCCTTTAGGTTTCATTTATCTCGACGACACCCCCTTAATCTCCTTCTTGAGGACCTCTGAACTGCGCAGCAGCTTCCTGAAAGGCAAGAATCAGTAGAGAGCGGTGACTTTGACGCCAACTCAGATTTCGATTTGACTGAGGAAAGAGAAAGTTAAGTGTATGGGGATATGTTTATTATGCTGACAGAAAAGGACGATCAAGGCTATGGTTCAAAGTCTATTGAAAAGGGGGGAAAAGTCGATTTAAAGTTTTGTGAATGTCGTATGGATCGTGGCAGAAAACGTCAAGTGTTTGCTTCTAAGGCAGTTCCAGTTTTGCAATGCCAGGTGATTGGAGCTGGTGACAGTGTAACCAAATGTGTAAAAGTAGGATTGCACACATTTTAAATGCAACGACTCTAATATCTCCACATGTTGGACCCGACTTGGATCATGTCTGGACTGAACACAAAGTCACTGTTCAACTTGATTGAGGGTATCCAGAGAACTTGAAGAAGCTAAGTCTCCAGGAGTAATATTGCGATGCTGCTCTAAGGGCTTCAAATATTGAAGTGATATGTCAGCTGCTGTTGTCAGGCTGCCCTGGAGAATTTCGATTTCGAGTTATTCCCATGAGCTTCTGCTATTTATGTGCTTTGCTTGGTGGAAGAAAATATGACTAATCTAGAATAAATATCGCGATGTATAAGACATCTAAGAGTGGACGTTAGGCATTTAGGAATAGCTCTTTTAGGAAAACTACTAATGCTGGCGGTTTCCCACGTTTTCCATTGGTTGTTGTTTATGTATTAAAAAATGGCTCCTCAGAACCCGTCCGTAAAACAGAGAGTTTAGATGTCCAGAAGTTCTGAAAACAAAATATCGTTATTTTTTTTTTTTAAAGTAAGGTAAACCACGTTTCAGACATACACGCAAGTATGGAACTTAAAAGTTTTTAAATGCAAGGTGTTACTTGAGGTTAACTCAAGGTCAGTGCGGTCAGATGGACACGATCCTCCGAATTCGTGTCTTCCGCCCATAGTCTTTTCGACGTCTTATTTAAGAAAATAAAGATGAATTTTTTACAGATATTCTTTGACTTACTCATTCAGCATTTCCATACGTACAGTTATGTATTCGTGACAATTTTGCTGGCCCCTGGGTCAATATTGAGGCCATTCCCAGCACACTCAATACGAAACAGATTAAAAAAAATTAGTAGGACGAAGGTTATTTTTTTTTTGGAGGTTTGCTTTTTCCAAATGTTACCTTTTTGTTTTATTTTCACCCCAGAAAAAAAAATAAAAAAAGCAACAACAAAAACAACGGCACTCCTATAAAACTTTGGTGCTAAAAGATTGTTCAGGCAAGCTTTTTATCTGAAATGCTAGCAAACTTTATTTTTTTATGGAAAGAGGCTCTAGTGCAGCGCAAAACAATATTGAACATTTCGCAAACAGCGTAATGAATAACAGGATTGTTTGTACATGTCATTACGGGGAGGTAAGCTCGAACACTAGACAAGCACAAAGAGAGCGCTTGTCCTGTTTACTTTGTGTCCTTGTATTTTTTGCGCTATTTTATGTGTTTAACTAAGATGAACCAACTAGCCCAGCAACGTACCTTGCCAGAGGGTATGTTTGTTCCCCCCTTTTGTGTTTGTCTAGTGTTCAAGCTCACTTCCCTGTAACGCAAAACAACGGCACTAAAGAAAAAAAAAAGTGATACTGCAGTCGGTCCGGAACAAACTTGAGTCCAAGTTCTAGGCTCAACTCACAAAACATCTCTTTCCCCGTGGGACAGAGGAGCCATTGCACCTGTTTTTACAAAACTTGAAAGTATAAAACAGAGAGGACGAGGACGGGAACAGGACATCTTTCATTTAGCAACAACATTGAATGGTACAACGATAAAACCGCCCCCCAAGGGTCTCAACATTCTCCCGCTCAACGTTCTCTGGAGAACATTGAGACCCTTGAGGGGCGGTTTTATCGTTGTGCCATTCCATGTTGTTGCTAAATGAAAGATGTCCTGTTCCCGCCCTCGTCCTCTCTGTTTTATACTTTCAAGTTTTGTATCTATTAACCAACACGCTCGTTTTCAATTATACCTGTTTTTATATTTGCAATATGGAGTTATTGTTAGGTATAATTCCAACAATTGTTTTTTTCAGTGGCAGGACTATTACGGTTACCAGAGGAAGCAACCTTTCGTCTTTTCCCACCTGGTCGGTCTCATTCTTTCACTGATGCCCGGCTCGCTGACAACCGTCAGCTACGGTGCAAACAAGTAAGAACCGCAGTGTTAAGCTTTAATACAGAATGCGTTTTATTCGCCGAATTCCACGAAAAAGCCGTCACGAAGAACCCTCACCAAAAACTTCCACGATAACTTCCCCACTAAATATAGCAGGGAAAATGACGTCACGGTGACCACGCATGTGATCTCAAGTCACGCGACACGAAGTTCCCTGCAGCGGAAAAATTGACGTCAAGTGACCACGTAATGTGACGTCAAGTTCACCTCTACATCTAGAGGGAAAAGTGATGCTACGTGACGTCAATTTCCCCGCTAGATTTAGTCGGAGAAATTGACGTGACGACGTCATGCTACATCAAGTCACGCGACGCCAATTTCTGCTAGATGGTTGTTTGGGCTCAACAAATTATAAGCCCCCCCGCCCTTGTCAGCACGATCAACATATCTATATAGTGAATTTGGCCGTAATCTCATAATTGCTTTCATTGGTGGTAGATCTTAAAATATGTTAACATGAACAAGTTATTGGACATTGGTGCTCTCTTTGTAAAGGACTTATGTCACATAACGCGAAACGCAGTCCAGACAACATGCAGTCCAATACAGTAGCGTGACTATGGGGCTTTGTCATATCAGTCAGATATGTAGAACGCATCGGTGCTACCGGGGTCAGTGGCAAGTCCTTTAGTATAATTCTGCAGAGGCCGAGAGGAAGGCTCCGCAGAAGTCAAAGCTGGCGCTGGTTTAACCCACAGAAAAATCTGCGCTGTGCTGAAAAGTGCAAGAACCGTGCAGCCACTGGAAGGACCCATGCTGTTTCAGAACTTGAATTTACGGCTGATGAAGCATCGCTTGATTCCGCACTCGTTGTGTCTGCAGGGTTTTTGGATTGAGTATCTTGGCCCTATCAGGGCTTCTCGAGGTGGCGCCGCTGACCATACATTTCGGGATCCACGGCCTGGCGAGCATACAGTTCCTGAATGGCGTCGCAGAGGTAAGATCAGCATACACTCGCTTGCATCGGGAAACGCTAAAGGATTGGAACCATGTTGTAGACTGGAACGATCCTGTGGCCCTGTTGGCTTTTATCAACGTTACTAGAGCTCTTATAGACCATTCCACTAATCGCCTTCTGAGCGCTGCCATCTTTGTTTACTGGGACGTGGAACGCGTTTTGAGCATGCATAGTATAGATCTGTACCGTGACGCGCAAGCGTTTACAGCACAGTAACTCGGCGGTTTTTAACTTGGCGATAAGCGCTGGAAAATATTTATATACGTTTGCAACAAACGTCGGCAAGTAACGCTGGGCGCTGCCATCTTGCTCCTGGCGTGTTTAGATCGTCTGATAACCACGCCCATTGATCTCTATTGTAGTAGTGGTAATAGCAGTAGTAGGCTGGATCGTGGATCGAGGCTGTCTTGCTGGGGTCGAGCTGCACCACCGGCAGCCATCGCTTGACACCAGATAATGGAAGGGACTATATGAGAGAAAGGGGGAAAACTTCAATTTTTTATCTTAGTAGGTTGTTCTCGGTGATGAAACTTTTACCGGGTTTTCCGGGAATGAAAGTTAATATCTGGGCGCAAATATCAAAAGCGTTAGAACAATCTTTTTTAAATGGTGACCTTGCTCCTGAGCATGCACATTTGCAGCATACATTTTGGACCGCCGAATTAGTTTTCTTGGTAAGAGCGAGTAAGAGTGACCACCAGTATGGTACGGCGACGTCACGTGCAAGTAATATATATTTTTTTATCTTTTGTCTTGGTGTATAGTCTTATGAACTGTGAAAGTAACTATAGAGGTGAGCATAGATAAAAACTTGCCAATTGGATTTTGTACCTCGCGTCGCCCACTGTTCCAGGGCTTCATAACGACCTCGCTGTACGGAGTCCTCGCCGACTGGATTCCAGTATGCGAGAGGACCACTGTGCTCGCCATTGTCATCTGCAGTAGGTGCATTTGTTCAAGACACTCGCTCGTTAGGGGTGCCGACCTATTGAAGTCGATTTCGGACCTAAGATGTATATTTGTTGACTCGAGAAAATTTATAAATATAATCCGAGACATTTCACAATTTCCATTTAAGAGACATTAAACTGCGAATAGAGATAATACACAAGACATGTAAAAATAAGAAACAGGCGTTGAAGTTATGATTAAAAATATTTTATTAATTGAAGACTGTACGTTGTAAAGTTTGTCTGAAAAAAAAAAAAAAACTGAATTTGTTTTTGAGAAACAGTTGTTAACTTCTATAATATAGTGTATGTAGAAGACGTACATGGACCGAAAGCTCGTGCTGCCGAATCCTGGGTTCAATCCTCACCCCTGCCCGTTTCGATCTGGATGAACATCGTCCCGGCGTGCGGTCGTGTATCCATACTGCGTGGTGCACGTTAAAAACACCAGGCTAGCGGTTTTCCTGCACTGACTAAATTTATCATCTACAGGTGGGGGACAAGTCGCCCGTTGAGGCAGACTAAGTTCTAGACTGTATAGACGAACACACACCCCAATTGTTTTTAGTGACCACTCTGGCTTCAATCGCTTCACTTCATCTTTTAGAGCGCAACTCTTAGGCGCCCGTTTCCGGCTTGAGCGGCGTCGGCGTCGCCGTCGGCGTGACCGTGAGGACAAGTGACCGCCGTGACGTCATGGGGGCACGTGACCTCACGGGGGCCACTGGGGGGTGAAGGAAGAGGAGGGGGAGGGAAGAGGAGAGGAGGAGTAGCAGGCAGGACTGGCAGGACGACGAGGTGAGGTGCAGGGAGGAGGGGTATACCCTCCCATCAGTACCCTACCATCCTCCTCCTCGAGAGCTGCGCTCTAGTTCGGCGTTACAGGGAGTTGTAAACGGCTTTTATTTTTTTTTAAATGCATTAACATCGTTTGTTCAGATAATTTTCTCGCACTTAGAGCACTCATTACCTTGGCCTGGGCATGTATTCATCAGAGGCGATGTACGTATTCATTGCAGGCAATGTATGTATTCATCAGAGACAATATGTCTATTCATCAGAGGCATGGATCAGAGGCAATGTGTGTATTCATTAGAGGCAGCGTATATTCATCAGAGGCAATGTCTGCATTCACCAGAAGAAAAACAGTGGTCGAAGGTGTTCTAATTATGTTAGCAACCTGCCTTGGTTAATGTAGTCCCCAGAGATGTAAGCAAGCGGTAACAAAAAGTATAGGGCACATATAAAATGAGCAACCCATGTGTTTAGTTCTGTCTTCAGTAACTGAACAATTAAAACTATTCCCCTCTGCGTGCATGCACGTGCGCGCGTGTGTGTCTGTGTGTGTTTGTGTTTGTGCGTGCGTGCGTGTGAATTAAAGTAGCCATACAGTTGAACATCAAATTCATTACCATAATGCTTGTCTTCACTTTTGTCTTTCACTGCGTTTTCGCAAAGCCACCTTGGTCGGAGGGCGCTGCATGTTCGAGGCGGTTAACCTCGAGTTCGTCACGTCTCCGGTCATGTTCGCAAACGGTAAGCATTAAAGCCTAAGTGGCATTGACGTAGAAAGTATATACTTCCGCTGTAATAATAATAAAAAAAGACAGGTTGAGGAACTGTTTGTGTTGTGATGCAGTGGTCTTGGGCATCGCCTGGTTTGTCCTCTGGCGGCTGCTGTTCTTCGATGGACCCTACCACCACAAGTCGATCACTGAAGAAGAGAAAAGCCACATTACTGACGGCAACAGTAGGGTCTTCGTCAAAAGAAGGGTTGGCACTCAGAAATCTGATAGGAATATCGAGGAGCTTCTAGAATGCAGGAAAATAGCGAAACCATCAGAAGGGCTAGAATGGACCAAAATTATTCGTTGGGCTAGTTGGTTAACGGTTAAATTTTTATGTAGTATGCCATCGCCTTACCACCCGCTCCACCCCCCCCCCTTTTTTTTTTTCAAACAACAAAGATGACACCAAGCGGCGAAAGCTCGATGTGAGATTGGCGTTCAGTTGCTCTACCCGAACGCCAACAAAAGTTCGAGCTTTCGCCGCCGCGTGAGGAGGGCACTATTATTCTCGAAGAAGGTCTATTGTTTTATCTCAAACACGATTTCCCCTAAGTAGCATTGCAGGGGTAATCACTGTAATCAGAGCCCGTTCACATACTCTCTGAAATAAGCACTGATCTAACAAGTAACCTTTGCTAACATGGCTTATACTAAGTAATGCTGCGAATTTCACAGATTAGTCAGCCTTAGAGACATTCCTCGTCTACGCGACATACCAGTCATTTCACGACAACCATTCGTGCAGTTTTATATAGTGCAGTATGCGTTATAGAATGCGATCGTGTATATTAATAAGTACTATACAGAACCATTTCAAACTTCTTTACAAAGATGACTGTTAAAAGGAATCGCTCCACTTTTCGAGTTGTTACCATCGGGGACCATTTGGTGTCTTCCAGCAGAGTGAAAGTCCTTTAAATGGCGTCAAACCACTCTTTGTGCAAATATGGTGTTAATCCACAAGATATAAAACTTGAGAGAATGGTGCATCAACGCGCTTGTTAGAATGCAGGTTAGATGGGTCCCTTGGTGGTGGATGTATCTTGACCATAGGGTACTAAAGTTAAGATGGCAATGCATCAACGCGCTTGTTAGAATGCAGGTTAGATGGGTCCCTTGGTGGTGGATCAATCTTGACCATAGGGTACTAAAGGTAAGATGGCAATGCATCAACGCGCTTGTTAGAATGCAGATTAGACGGGTCCCTTGGCGATGGATGTATCTTGACTATAGGGTTCTAAAGTTAAGATGGCAATGCATCAACGCGCTTGTTAGAATGCAGGTTAGATGGGTCCCTTGGCGATGGATGTATCTTGACTATAGGGTTCTAAAGTTAAGATGGCAATGCATCAACGCTTGTTACCATACAGGTTAGGCGCGTCCCTTGGCGATGCATCCTGACCAGCACGCCGGTCCACTTGGTCTGCCTGGCCGTGGCGACGGGCATGTACGAGCAGCGTCTGGGGAAGTACAACTACCTCATGTACCTCGGAGACTTTCATGTAAGACACTCAGATCTCTGTTATGCTCACTTGGCGTCATCAGCTGTCGGGACTTATGGCGTGAGACTTAGCGAACAGAAATCAGTTAAAATATTGCTCTGCGCCGTATTAAAGAGTGCTAACTCCCTGCGCATTAATTATTACCGCTTATGGACGGAGACTATCACGAGCTGACGGGTAGTAAGCACATTCTATAACTTTCAACATTCCAACTTTATAAGATTACCAGATTCTGCTTAACACTAAATGTTGTTCTTGTTTTGCTGTGTGAACCTGTACTGTCTCCGTTTTCAAAACCTCTTACGCATATGAAAATAACAACGAACAAATTAAGGATATAAGAAATGTAAATCTTTCTTTTCTTCAATATTTTTTTATTTTTTTTTATTTTCTTATTTTTTTGTTGAGTAGATTGCTTTCTGAAGCAGCGTTGCTTCTGTCCCTTTTGTTCAGAGATTTCCGTCCCTGCCGTCTGTGCTGGCGCTGGCGGCTGTGATTGTAACGTGCGGGGTGGCCAGCGATTTTCTGCGGGACAAAGTCCTTCTGTCCACCTCTGTGGCAAGGAAGATGTCTGCTTCTGGAGGTACGTGTTCCCAGTTAGCACAAAAACTTACGAAGAGACACGCTCGAAATTCTATACATAAAGCTCTAATGCTAACTACGTTTGTCTGTATCCATCTTTACATCATTTTGTTGTAAAGATGCGTGTACTAGGTTGTGTTTGGTGGCAGCTTACCTGTCGCCGTGTTTTGATATATGTTTTTGTTAAATTGCTTGCTCGAATATTCGGGAGCTTACCTGAACTGAGTCAAGATGGAACATATTATCTATGGGTTTGATCCGGATGAGTGATTTTTTGTGAGACTGAATTCCACTATACTTCGCTGTTTTGTTTCACTAGGTCTGATGATTCATGCCTGTGCTGCGATGCTACTGGGGTTAAAAGAGAGCCACTGGATAGAACACATTGCCGTGACAGCCCTAGGAGTGTTCATTCTTGGTAAGAGTAATACATGGATATGGAGGCATCGCAACCTGCAGCACTGTATAATTGTACTGGGGCGGTTCTTTTATGCTTTCGCTATTCATACTAAACTTACTCAACTTTCCTCAAGGGTGGTATCACACTTTGAAATATCTGACTTCAACAACTAATGCGATCACAAAAAAATGTAAAAATATGTGTACGCATAAAAGCACCATAGGTGATACCAAGGTTAAGAAAAATGAATAAGAGTACATTCACGAATCCCTATAGGCAAAAATGCAAAGTTTGAAATTGAATGAAATATCGAGGAGAGTGTGGAATATGTGCTGTTTGTGTTCTGTCCTTTTATGTTTAAATATTTCTTAAGTTTTTAACATTATTCGCTGAAGGGTGTTTTACATCTGCCATAGGCATTGACAGCAACCATCTGGACCTGGCGCCACAGCACGCCGCTGTACTGAAAGGAGTGTCATCCACTACGCTCTGGGTTGTGGTGGGTGCCCTGAACGTGTTCATCATCACCGAGACATCTTCTGTCATGGTAAGGCCCACCGAGCTTGGCAATCTGTTTTTGTTTTAATTAGTAATATGCCTTTCCTCTTTATGTTCTGCTTTCAACGTTGCATATTTATACACTGTTCTACGGTTAGTCGCGATAAACAGTTTCCAGCTTCCGAAGGTGTCTCATTAGGTTCAAGATCGTGTACGAAACGTGAAGTGACCCTGAAGAAAGCGTGACTTCTTCAATTTTTTTTTCTTTTCTTAAAAACGTAGTTTTTGTTTACAAGTCACACAGACTACCATATAGATTGTCTAAAACGGCACGTCCGCAAATAACTGCGACATATCCTCCAGTGTTCGTGCTCCACGCCACGTAGTAAACAAGCCAAGCCCCCCGAGAAGACATGTCCGTCGTAAAACACGAGTACACTGCGTGCAGAAGGCTGCGGATAAAATCCGGACATGGAGGCGAATCAACCATACACGAATCAATCGAGTTAAGAAAATCTCCGGAAAGTAAACCGGGTCGTCTGACTACGAAATAGACGTGACACATCAAATGACAAAATTCTGAAAGAGCCCGAGAGCATTTCACTTCATTTAGTCTTTAAAGGGAAGATGGGGCACTTCTACATTTGAGAAAAAACGCATGAATTGCGTTCATTTGGCCTTTAGAATAACAGATATCAAAATTATATTTCAATGCGACGCGCCGGAGAGCCACAAGAGCAATTTCAAAATAGGGCTGAAGCCCCGCCCCCCTAGCCTTGGACAGCCAAAAGAGCCGTCGATGACGTCACGGACAGCGACTGTCTTTCGCGTTTTTCTCGCGTTTACCAATAATTACGCAGCAAATGGTTTGGGTATTCGGGTTCACGGGGTAAAAATACACTAGAATTCACTTCTAACTCATTTTTTCCAAGAAGCTCCGTAGCTTCCCTTTAAAGCTATGCTGGGTGATTCCACGTCAATTCATGCAATGATGGTCCGGGTCATATTTTAGATATTTTTGTTAAAAATATATGTGAAAGCCATGTTTTTGGGAGGAACATTCAGCTAGATATGAACGCCGTAACAATTTTTTTCGCTGAGATATAAAATAGAGAAGCTTAAGGCGTGGAAATTGAGAAGATTTCACAATGCTAATTTGCACAGTCGTCATTTCCTTATCGAACCTTTCACGGCACCATAACTTTTTTAATAGGTTTTACAAAGGTTATACAACACATACATAAAAAATTAAAAATATCCATAAAATATTTCAATGCAAACAAAAATATCAAACATGGCACAAAAACGCGTTTTAGAGACATATTCACAATTTTTTTGCAAAAAAACCATCTTTCATAATACTTCACAAAACATATCAAAATGCGCGTATTTAAATATTCTTTACGAATATATAAATATAATATGCCCATCCTTAAACATATTTTTGTTATCAACGCGGAAATTCGGCTGATTTCTCAAAATGTGGCAAGATTGGGCGTCGATATTTAAAAAACTCCATCTTTTATTTTCTTTAAACTCCCTTTTGCACTTTGCAGTGACTTGAACTAACCTGTGATGGCAAAAGATTGAGTAACATATGACCTCCAAGCGGGAAAAGCTACGACAAACCTTCACTCGGAGCGAGCCGACGTCTTCGTCATAGCGGCTTTGCCGCACAGCACCAAACGTTTTGAGCGTTAGTTATGGCATGTATTTTATATTATTAAATTTTTTTTTCATAAGGGCTGAGTATTAGTGACGCGAAAATGGACTTTGAGCTGGAATACCATTAATTAGCTTACAATTCACAGGAACAAAACGGCCCCACTGTGCGAATTCGCTAACTATGCATAGATAAGCTTAAAACTCTCAGTTATGCGAGTAGCCATGTATACATCCGGCCTCTCGGCATATGATGACTTCCACAGATGAGAAGCCTGGATTCCTCTCACAGGTTTTATGGTGGTCCACTCTGCTTGCTTTACCGCACGAAACTCTCGAACCCGCTCCACAGACAGGTGGAACATGCAGACATTTGTTACTTTTTTACGTAGCACTTCCACAAAGTCTTTAGCGGTGGCAACCGTTGAGTTGAGCGAAGATCTCGCTCAACTCAACGCAAGCGAGGAACTTGGTGAGCGTTGGTTCTTCCACCTACTTCATCACAAGCGCTTTCTCCGTGTCCAGTGGCTGAAAAGATCCATCTTGCCGAAGAGTGCGGCTTCCGAGACAATTCGTGGAATTGGAAGCGATTCTTGAAATGCGCCGCCGCTCCGTCTGATACAAAAATTATTTCAAAAAAGACTGGGAAATGAACATTAACATACTCTTTTATGGCCTATGTGGCTAGAAGAGCGTGAGCTGTGTCATGTTTCGTGTACCATCGGTGACAACGGCAAAGCTTTGCGTGCCTTGCGTGGACGTAACCACACTTGTGGAGAGAGACACTTGAGTTTTTTTTTCAATGAAAACTCTGCACTTCCGTTGGAAAGAGTACTGTCCGTTTTTCCGCAAAATCGAAGTGGAACATCACTGCCTTGGGTGGTAAGGCGGTTCTTGTGTCATGTATCAGGCTTCGTTCAAGGTCAAGGATGTAAGAATGCCTCATATACTTTTCGCTCTCCTATTGCCGCAGGAAGGCAGAAGTGTCCATAACCTTTTTGACGAGTTCGCCAGCGTCCCATAACGCGAAACATATCTCTTGGTCTTCGTCGAGATGAAGCGACTGCAGCGGGATGCTCTGCGTTTTTGGGCACTTTTCGCAACGGCGCAGAAAGCAATCGTTCTGTGGAGCGCAGAAGAGGTAGATGCGCTTGAGGTCGTCTTCAGTAAATGTCTTCTTTGGGGCATTTGTTATTGCCGTTAAAAGCAACTGAAAATTGACGCAATATATGCATGCGCACACCTCGTGCTCGGGACTTTTTTTTTTTACCCATTTTGGTCGTAGGGAATAAAATTTGGAGATGCCTAGTTCGGGTTGGGGATGGTCCTTCCTAAACAGCTGGTAAGCTTCCTTAATAGAGCGGGTCATAAACCTTTTTACGACTTTGAACATGTCGTTGATCATGGCTTTGACGACGTCCTTTTTGTCGGGGCTTTGAACAGAGCATGCGAGGTCGTCGCGTGTGTAGTACTCAATTGCAACCCCCCCGTCTTCGGCATTCGCCTTTTTCCCCATGTAGGGATCAGGGGTTGCCCAAACACCACCTTTGCGCTTCAGTTTTCATGTTTGATCAATCATGTAGGCAGTCGCACCCGACACCAGACGCAATATTGTTTTCTTCAGGATGATTGATGGCAGAAGCACGTACAATCGCTTGCGTTCCTGGTGAGAACTACATGCCTTCAGCACTTCGCAAAACGCGTCAAACCACTCTGCGCAGTGCTCACAACTGTCTTCGAGTTCGAGAGTTTCGTGCGGTGAAGCAAGCAAAGTGGACCACCGTAAAACCTGTCAAAGGAATCCAGGAAACTCTCCAGGAAACTCATCTGTGAAAGTCAGCATATGCCGAGAGGCAAGATGTATACATGGCCATTCGCGCAACTGAGAGTTTTAAGCTTATGTATGATGCATAGGTAGCGAATTTGCAGAGTGGGGCCGTTTTATTCCTGTGAATTGTAAGCTAATTAATGGCATTCCAGCTCAAAGCTCCTTTTCACGTCACTAATACTCACCGCGTATAAAAAAAGAATTTTAATAATATAAAATACATGCCATAACTAACGCCCAAACGTTTGGTGCTGTGCGGCAAAGCCGCTATGACGAAGACGTCGGCTCGCTCCGAGTGAAGTTTTGTCGTAGCTTTTCCCGCTTGGAGGTCATATGTTACTCAATTTTTTGCCATCACAGGTTAGTTCAAGTCACTGCAAAGTGCCAAGGGGAGTTTAAAGAAAATAAAAGATGGAGTTTTTTTAAATATCGACGCCCAATCTTGCCACATTTCGAGAAATCAGCCGAATTTCCTCGTTGATAACAAAAATATGTTTAAGGGTGGGCATATTATCTTTATATATTCGTAAAGAATATTTAAATACGCGCATTTTGATATGTTTTGTGAAGTATTATGAAAGATGGTTTATTTGCAAAAAAATTGTGAATATGTCTCTAAAACGCGTTTTTGTGCCATGTTTGATATTTTTGTTTGCATTGAAATATTTTATGGATATTTTTAATTTTTTATGTATGTGTTGTATAACCTTTGTAAAACCTATTAAAAAAGTTATGGTGCCGTGAAAGGTTCGATAAGGAAATGACGACTGTGCAAAGTAGCATTGTGAAATCTTCTCAATTTCCACGCCTCAAGCTTCTCCATTTTATTTCTCAGCGAAAAAAATTGTTACGGCGTTCATATCTAGCTGAATGTTCCTCCCAAGAACATGGCTTTCATATATATTTTTAACAAAAATATCTAAATTATGACCCGGACCATCATTGCATGAACTGACGTGGAATCACCCTGCTGTAAAATAAAAATAAAAAAGATAAAAAAGTGGAACGAGAGCACTATGTTTTATTATTTAAAGACGAGAGCACATAAAAAATTTCTTTCCGGCCATTTCTTCCTTGTTTTCTATTTATTCAATGCCGTCTTTCTTTATACACGTAAATAAACATTCTACACACGTTTGCGAGCCGTAATTCCTTCAAAAGCTGGTCTGACCACCGTGGGTGGAATACGCCTTGTTAAAGCATCAGTTTGGCAACTGTGGACACGCCTCAGCAAGGCTTAACTATCAGATGACCTAGATACACGTAGCACCAATATGGCGAAGCCCAGACGCCGCAATATGACGGAGGCTTATTGCGGAGAAGGCGCCCTGTAACCGAGCTTTCGGTTGCACGTCAAAAGATCCCCAGGTGGTCGAAATTAATCCTCAGTCCTCCGCTGGGGCGTGCCAGATGCCCGTCATAGGTTTGGCACGTAAAAACCCCAAATTTGACTTTTTTTTAGACGCCGCACTTGCAAACGTGTATTCTCTAGTGTATTATGAGCCTGACACGCAGAACGAGGCAGGAACACGTGACCGCGGTCTCGCGAACATTGTAGTCAAAGCCTGTGCTTTAGATTCTTGACTTCTTCACAGTGAGATCGAGCGAAGACGCGGATTGGATACGAGTGCTGCGTGAGCGCTCGGTAGGGCCTCGTATCTAATCAACGAGTTAACGAACGCTCGGCATTGGGCTCGGGTCTAATTGCTGAATTAACGCCATCCGAATCCAATGAAGTTCCATGGAGGAACGTCATCACAATCGCCGTCCACTGCTGGCTAGGTGGCACAAGCCGCCGCCAGATTAAGAGTTCAGCTCCGTCCTTTCATCTCTCCATCCATACAAACTATTAACCCACCTGGCCCAACCGTACACGCCGCTTCGCGGCGCCCCTACGGCGGCCCAAGCCCCGCTGTCCCCCATTGCACCTTCGAAAAAAAAAAAAAAAGTCCCGCCTTTTCATTGCAGAGTCACAGGATTGCCCACGTAGTGCTGCCCGTGTGCCAGATGGTGGCTGCCATGCTGTTTCTCCTGTACGGACACGGACGTCGGCAGGAGTGGGACCTGCCGGATTTGTCCCACGCTGACACCGAGGTCTCCGTGTCGGAAGACGTGGAAGCTTCCGAACCCGCTCTGGACCCTCGCTCGGAACCCGGCACCAGCGACTCCACAGAACGAGACTGGCCGCAGAATCGCACTCTGCAGCACGATGCGTAAACTTCGTGCACGAAATTAATTAAAGTCCGCAAGTCGAATGTATTGTAGAACCTCACTGAACGCTCGACTGACCAGTCGATCGAGTCTTAGAAAGGAAAGATAAAAAAATGAAAGGCGCTTACAACACCCTGTAACGCCGAATTAGAGCGCAGCTCTTGAGGAGGAAAAGGGAAGAATGCTGAGGGAGGGTATACCCCTCCTCCCTCCTCTCTGCTCCTCCTCCTATTCTCCTCCCTCCACTTCCTCCTCCTCGTCCCCCTCCTCCCTTCCTCCTTCTTCTTCACGTCCTCTTCCTCCCCTGATCGTTCAGCCTCCTCTCCTCCTCCTTCCTCCTCCTCCCGTCTCCCCCTCCTCCTTCCTTCCCCCTCCTCCTTGCGCGTTGCATCATGGGAATTGTCCCATACTGCACCGAGTGGGACCCTCGTGACGTCACGTGTGACGTCACGAGTCCCGCGCTTTGCATTGTGGGACATTTTCCATAATGCACCGCGTGGTTACGCCGACGGTTACGCCGACGCTGACGGCGACGGCGACGCCGCTCAAGCCGGAAGCGGGCGCCTAAGGGCTGCGCTTTAAAAAGGATCGCGTATAAGCTGTGTGCGGCACAAGAAATATACGAGCGTGACATTCGTTATGAGTGGGACCCAGATGTTTGAATAACGCGTGTGCATCGCCAAAAAAACAAAAAAAAAACATACTATTTGGAAGTTTTATGATTTCGTTCAGTTTCCTTGATGAGCTTTGACACACGCCAACTTTGCTTATGGCGTCGTTTGCTCAACCTGGAGTCCCATAAAGTTTGCGAGATGAATTGGTAGATATATACTGTTCTTGGATTTGTTGCTTGGTTCGAAGTGAGGGCGCTTTTCTGTCGTTATGTGAATCCGAAACTCATCGCAATTTCGCTGCCCTGTTTGATAATAGAGTAAACGACCCGCACAATACTCCCTTCGTGAGCGTTGGTCGAGTGAAATGGGCAAATTCGAAGCAACGATTATATGCGACATAAACATGGAAGTTCCAAACGTGTGACCAAGGTCATCAAAGTGTTCGCGTAAAACAAGCTCCGTGTCTGGTTCGTCTGAACACAAGTGCAGACAGAAACCGATATATATATATATATATATATATATATATATATATATATATATATATATATATATATATATATATATATATATATATATATATATATATATATATATATATATATATATATATATATATATATATATATATATATATATAGGAAGAGAAAGATATGTATTCACTGACGTAATTTCGTCTCCTATTTTGTAGTTTTGAGCTGTGTAGCGCATGCCGAGGGCGAGCATACCAAGAATTTACAGCCTCATATGCGTTGTGCACAGGCGCAATCTGCCATACGTTTCGTCACGTTGTCAACGAACAACAAAATGGCGGATTAAGGTAATGTGAATTCCTCCTACAGAAAAAAAGACGAAGAGAGAGAGAGAGATAGAGAAAGAGGGAAGAGAAAAATAAACAAAGGGCGAGATTTCGAAAAAAAGATTCACCGCTATTCGATGCTCACTCAGCTAATAACTCTTCGCGTGTCTTTGAGTGCAGAAAGAAGAACCCATGCCGTGCTGTACTCAATTCAAGACCATATCGACTAAAGCGTGTTCGCTAGACATTTGGTCCACTTGGACCTTGCCGCAACCTTGAATTGCTCCTTCCAATTTGACCGCCCGCTACCTTCCAGCCGAATAGACTTTCCTTTCATTCTCTATAAATAAACCAACACATCGATTCCATTCGCCACTCACGCTGTGTAGGTGTCGTTGAAGAGAAAGCCCATTCGACTATTAAAAGCGGGACCTTTCCACCGAATGAACGCGAAACAAACACACACAAAATAGAACGAACGATGGGGGCCTCCTGCCCATTCTTCGCTGCTACCGCACTTTCAGAATACGGCGCTCCTACACTCTGTCTCGCCCCTAAGCTGTCAGTGTAGTGGAAGCCACCCGCTCACCGGCCCAATCAACCGCCTCCCTTTCATCACGTGATCCCCCCCTCTGCGCGTGGCTATGGGCGGGAGTGTGGTCACGTGGCGAAACATCGACTCACGACTGGTCCAACAAGCACGTGTATAGCTTACACCGGACTGTCGGCTTACGTTGAACGGGGCGTAAGTATACCTTCGTGGCGGTTCACCGTACGTCATTGGCAACGCCAGCAGGTATAGAATGGGACGGTTTTAGCAAAGAAAAGAGTCACGAACCATGGATGTACAGTCACGGAACCCCGGGCTTAGACGCTAGGGCCTCCACAAAAGCTGGGCGCTTCTTTTTTCTTTTCTTTCGCAAGCTCGCGTTGTCGGTTTTAAAGCGGAGTCCTTGGGTGGGCAGAACGTTGGTGTTTAACAGCGAGACGATCGCTCCTCGGAGATTAAGAAAAAAGGGACGGACGGCTCAAAACAGGAGATGAAGACTTGAAGATAGCTCGTATACTTCTTATCATCTCGCCTTCCTTTCGGCGTTTTTTTAGATCTTGCGCGAGGCCCTCGGTGTGGGATGTATGCTACGTGCGCAGCTATACGGATAGGACTGGCGGCGACTTAAACATGGTGAGTGCGTATACGTTTGCTCTTTTGTGCAATAGAAAAAGCTAATTTTTTTTTTTTGAACTTGGTGATTGTGCACGTGACAGAACTGTTCATTCGCCGGTAGAGGGGTTGGTATACGCACGGCGACAACACTTTGAGGAACAGGAGGAGGGATTAACGAGTGTAAATCGTGGTCACACCTCTAAAATAAGGAATACAAAAGCTGAACGAGCTGGTGCGCTCGCAGGCGTTGAATGCTGCGCACGGCTTTTGATTAAGTTTGGCCCTAGCTATTCAGTGGGGGGAATAATACTTATGCCTGGCTCTATGGTCAATAGGATGGTCGATTCTTCCGGTTTGTCATAGAAAGGTGCCCCGCGCATAGTCATGATTGGTTTCTGTGATTTTCTTCGAAGGGTGCTTTGATTTTTTATGGATCTTTTTTTGTACACCCACGTTCTTCCAGCGTTGAAATTCTCGCAGCATTGCGCAACATAGCAATCCGCTGAACAAGAATAAAACAGCGATGCTTGTAGTCTCACCAATCTGCAAATACAAAAACATTATCTAACATGCGAGATGTTGTATGGAAAGGGAAAACGAAAGATATCGATAGACCTTTGCAAAAAATAAATAAATCGCCTTCTGAGCGCTATCATCTCTGTCTGTTGGGCTGTGGAACGGCTTCTGAGCATGCGCTGTTGATTTGGTGTGCGCTATATCGGACGCTGCGCATGCAGCGTCCGTATAGCGCGCAGCTCAGTGACTCAGCACTTTTCGCTCGGTCAGGGGCCGCGAGCGCGTCCGTAAGATGCGACCATGCAATGCTTGCACTGAACGTAAAGCTTCACTGCAGCAGTATTCGATCATGCCCAAGCCATGGTCGTTTACAAGAGTCTGTCATCATTTTTCGATGCGCGCGCCTAACAGAGCGCACGAAAGAATTAAAACAAAATTTCAGATAAACAGAAAAATGCAGCTCCCTCTTTCTGCGTCTTATGAAAGATAAAAAATTTCTTGTTACTTTCTTAAGCTATTTTGTTACATTTAAGTATATCCGCCAATGAAACTCTGCAGCTCATCTTCCACGAGCAATGTGAAAAATTGTAATGACGCACACCCGAAACGCGACCGAAAACAATCCGGAGCGCAAGTTCGTCTGCTTCTTTTGAAGGGGCTGAACGCCGAGCTCTTACTGAGTGAGTAGACCTCATGGCAGCTTGCTTTCAGGTCTACCCACTATCCTTCCATCAGAGCCAATTAGAGCTCGATGCCTTTCTGACGTCATCGCAACTCAAGAAGCAGACGAACTTGCTATCAGCATTCGATCTCGCTCGCGAGGAGACGCTGCTCAATCTTGATAGCTATATACGCTTTACACACGCGCCAAATTACAGCCGCCATAAGTGACCTTCTCTTGTCTTACCGAGAGGCCGAGCAACTGAAACGGTAGTTGGCGATCCTCTACAAAGGCCGATGCTTTAGAAAAGAACACAGTTGAATCTAATATGGCAATAACCTGGCCTGCTATGGTAATGATGAAGGGAAATAAACGAAATAGGAGGAAACAAAAACTGAAGGTCAGTTATGGCGGCGTCCATGCACAGCTGCTGCAAAGCGTCTATACACGCCTATATTGTTTCAGCTGGAAGCGTTCTGAACAAAACGCGGTGAATTGTGTCGTTTTCTTGACACTGAATTATTAGCACACTTTGGTACGCTACAGGCTTGTGTCCCATGTCAATTGAATCCGTATAGAATCAACAATCACAATATAAAGGAGAGGCCCATAAAAAATGAATTAAACGTGACGAAGGAAAGATGACAATTTTTCTCTTCCCCCTTTTTTTATTACGCCAGTTTGCCATGCGGCTAATTGACGCACGTCATATTAATTTTAGACTAAAACAAAAAGACAAAAAAAAACAACAACAACATCAAAGTTAGTTACTGTCGCTGATATCGCTGTCTTTCACACATACATCCATGTGTAGGCGCACGCGCGCGCACGTACGGTCGTACATAAACGCCCCCTTCGCACACATACATACGCAATAACTTCAGTATACATACATAAGTTAGTGAAGGAACGAGTGAGATGTTAACCTATACACCTTTTCCACAAGGGCGCAGACATCTTGAATGCAGTCACTTCTGGTATGCCGTGAAACATCGTTTTGCTCTCTCCACGCCGCTGGAAGGTGTTTACGAAAAGTTCGTGGTTGTCACACGTTCTTGTTTTGCCTCACCTATATCTACTCCTATATTCCAGGTTTAAATGTTTTATTATTTTTTGTCCCGCATACCAGGTACGGAACCGACGTGACTGAGAACGACAGGAAGCAGAAAACGTCTGCATGCGTCACTTGTGGTTAGCTTCCCTGGAGGATATTTCGTTTAATCGCAAGTAAAGGCTAGAAGACGCACGGACGCAGACGTACGGGCCAAAAGCGCAAGATGATGGCGCAAGTTT